CCCCAAAACCCCAAAACCCCAAAACCCCGGTTTTTGGAATTTTTATTGAGAATTATTATTTAATCATGCTGCCTTCTTTTGGTGCTTTTGGCAAAGGGTTTGAAGGGAGTTCCAACTGCTATAACTGCTGAAGGATGGAAATTTAGCCTAGTTGTGCCTAGACTGAAAGAGTTTTCAATGCTTTTTGGCTTTTTATGGGGGTTTCTTTGAAGAGATGATGTGAAAATAAGCCTTGACTTTGACCTACAAATAGTAGAAAGTAGTTACCTTGCTTTTTGGTTAAAACCTAAATAGATTAATAATCAATTTTTTCCTACAAATAATGCAAGAAGGGCAGTTACAAACATTTGTTAACAAAATTTGTAGAGAAATTTAGAAAATTAAATTTTAATTGTATTAAAATTTATCAAAAAATCATATGAAATTCTTTACTTTTATCAGCCTGAATCCTTGTTGTGTTTCCAGTTAGTATAGTATTATGTCTCAAGAAATAGCTCCTGTTCATGCCAGTCTGTATCTTATTCAACTCTGTCTGGAATGATCTCATGAGATTTGATGACATTTTCATGTTATTTTTCTTTCATTATTTTCAACCTATTAACTGTTAAGTACCCAAAATACTTATTTGATGACGGTACTCTGCTATTTCTCATTGTTGAATCTATGAAGCGAGTCAGAGCAAATTTTGTGAGGTTTTACTCACAATTTCGAAGGTTTTTACGTATACTTTGTCCATTTTGTAGAACTTTGAAGATTTTTCTGAAACACTTTGTGAACGAAGCTAAATTTAATGTTTAAAATATACATCTTGGTTTGCTCTTAAGGGTTCCTTGTAGGTTTAGTGATTTGTTCAGGTTTCCTAGAACTGTTAGCTACCAGTTTTGTCCCTAGGAACTTACTCTTTGTGAAAGTAATCTTATTTATTCCTAAAATTCAGTTTATGCTTGAGTTTGAGATCTTTGAATGTCTAAAATATTTAAGAAACAAGAATACCTTCATTCTGTTTCTTTTGTTTCGATCTTGAGACTCAAGACTTTGACTTTTTGACGAAATGCCTGAATCGATCCTTTTAAGCAAGCTCTCTTGAAAATCTTCTGATTGGTCTAGATTGACCGAACTCTCAACAAAATTTGGAGTAATGTCTTCTTTGATCTAGAAGGTTCAAAACAAAAGTACCTCAGCCAAATTTAGCTTTCTCAAGGAAGGAGATGGACTTGCTAATTCGTTAAGTTATCCTAAATACCTTGTAATTTGATCGTTTTCCTTGGACTATCAGGTGGGTCTGCTCGTTTTGACAGCATACTATTTTGTTAAAAGAGAATTACGCAGTGAGGATCTCTGTGCTGTTGTATCTCTGTCTTTTCCGAGGTTTCTCTGCTGACTAAGAGGTCGGCCTCAAGCTTACCTTTGACTGCTTCTTAGGTTCCTCATTTGGACTGTTTACTGAAGGAGCTTTCATTGTTACTTTTGAGAGCATTGAACTTCTGCTTTATTCTAATGGTTGATCTTCTCTGTAATATTTTAGTAAATTTTTGCAAAATTGGAAACACTTGTGAATAAACTGTATGAAGAGATGGATTACTTTAACTAACTGAGGTCTTTTGAAACATCTGGATCTCCTTGCTGCGGTGTGAGCCCCACGCTTGTTTCTCTATTAGGATAGACTGAAAGAATACCTTGAGGCTGTCAAAATTTTCTAAGTTATTTCCTTCTTAATTTTACTAAACTTCCTAGAAGAACAATGAGTTATAACAGCAAGAAGAGTAATCATTTTCGGTGAAATAAAGTGAGATTTGTAATATAATTGAGATATGAAGAAAGTTACCTCCAGTAGAAAACACTTTGTTAGCCAGGAAACTCCAGAAATTCTGAATAGAATCCTCCTTGAAGTTCATTATTGGGGTATCAAACACAGGAGGATTCTCGAATAAATCGTTAAGGTTGTATTTCGTTATATGGTCTTTTACTTTCCCTGTGTAAGTGTCTATCACAGAACTTTTAGAAGAACTCATCTCATAATAGTCTTGTTGGAGAGGCATCCTTCTAACTTTGCTCATTTTTACAAGAGATTTTGATTTGGTCATTTGAAGGTTCTAATGGAAAACATTATATGATCAAAATCTTTAGAAAGCTTAGTTAAGTTTCTATAGAGATTAGATTTTGAAATAAAACAAAGAAACTGCATTATTTTTTTATAGAAATACCATTTTTAGAAGCTTTGGGGGAATTTATTTTATTTTAAGTTAGCTTGGATGGGGTTTTGGGGTTTTGGGGTTTTGGGGTTTTGGGG